GATAAATGTCTAGATATCATTTCTACTTTGGATTGTTTTAGCATTGCTCATATATCTAGACATGACAATTAGAAAGCAAATGAGTTGGCATAGCAAGCATCCGGCTATCATGTTGATCATGGCATGTTTCATATTTCTCAAAGGCCGATGTATACCATTGTCAATGTAGAGGCCGAACCAGAGCCCACTACTTTGGCCATTAACAAAGAATCTAGTGCAGTTGGCAGTCATGACTGGAGGAAGCCCATTATTAATTACTTGTGTAATCCGAGTGAAAGGGTGGACAGAGCTGTTCCACGTATGGCTTTCAAGTATACAATGAGATGATGGTCTTTATCACCGAACAGTCGATGATGTTATTCTAAAGTGCTTGGACGAGGACTAGTCAAGAGTTGCTATGGGAGAGGTACATGAAAGCATTTGTGGCACTCATCAGTCGGCTCCCAAGATGAAATGGTTACTATGATGTGTTGGGTTTTATTGGCCGACTATGATTAATGATTGCTTCAGATATTATAAAGGGTGTGAAGCTTGTCAAAAGTTTGGTGATATTCAATTGGCTCCTGCTGCTATGTTACATCCTATTATCAAGTCGTGGCCTTTTAAAAGATGGGGTTTAGACTTCATTGGAGAAATTCATCTGTCTTCCAGGGGCATCGGTTCGTATTGGTGGCAACCGATTATTTCACTAAATGGTCTGAGGTAGTACCGCTCAAAAACATGACACATACGGAGGTAATTCAGTTCATAACCGAGCACATTATTCATAGATTCGACATTCCTCAAACATTAACTACAGATCAAGGTTCACCTTTCATGTCACACCAAGTTAGAGAATTTGCCGAATCTTATAACATAAAGATGCTCAATTCCTCCCCATATTATGCCAAAGCTAATGGACGTTGAGTCTAGCAATAAAATTTTAATCAAGCTCATCAAGAAGAAGATTGAGGATAATCCAAGGACATGGCATGAGTTGTTGTCTGAAGCTTTGTGGGCACATAGAATCTCAAGGCATGGTGCTACAAGCGTGACTCCGTATGAGCTAGTATATGGTCAAGAGGTTGTTCTACCAGTAGAAGTAAATTGAATGCTTTGAGAATAGCCAAACAGAATAATCTATCGGCAAAGGACTTTTATGACTTGATGATGGACAATATTGATGAGGTTGCCAATAAACATTTGGCTGCTTTGAAGGCCATAGAGAGAGACAAGTCAAGGGTGGCAAGAGCTTACAATATGAAAGTCAAGCTGAAGAATTTTCAAGTTGGCGATCTCGTATGGAAAGTGATTCTGCCGATTGGTTCAAGAAATAGAAAATTCAGGAAGTGGTCTCCGAGTTGGGAAGGTCCTTTTAGGATTACAAGAATAGTTCCTGAAAATTCATATTTGGTGGAATCCGTACAAGGGACATTGTTACCTCGAGCTCTCAATGGCAAGTACTTGAAGAAGTACCACCCGAGTGTGTGGCAAGAAGCCTAAGTAGGCAATGGCCGATATACGATTATCGTCCTTAGCACAAACATGACTGATACATATTTATTGCCGTAAGAGACACAAATGGCCGAAGGAGTGTTGACATCGTCCTTAGAACAAACACCATGCATATTATTTTTCGGCATACAAGCTCTGCCGAAAAACAGGGGGGCATGTGTTGACACATGATTTCGGTAAGATACAGAATGTAATAAAGATGGTCTTGAGTGAAAAGGTTTTTTAGCATGAGAAATTTTCGCGTCGCCGAGTGGAACGACTTTAATGTTTAGGTTATCGCCATCCGACCTCAATTTGGGGACCGAAAGTGTACTCAGAGTAGCAAAATCTAGTGTCCAAATGCTTTTTGGCCGATTAAGCCTTGAAATCTACCTCGTATGAAGGAGAACTCCACATGAATTGTCTTTGTCTCGTTAAGGCGGTCGATTTTCATATATAAATCATCTCAATCCGAGTTCATATGCAAAAGTTAGAGGCAATACACTACGGACTGAACCTAAACGAAAATATGGCGCGAGGTACCAGACACCGTGTTTGATGGGTCGTGCGAGCAATTCGGCCCTCAAGACGGCTTCTAACCGGGAAACCTTCAACATAAGAAAGTTTCATCTCGTCAAGTAGATCGATTTTAATATATAAATCATCTCAATCCAAGCACGTGTGCGACCTGAAGAGGCCAAACAAGATCAGGTTGTGTTTTCAGTCGGGAAATCCGGGTGAAAAGTTTACCATCCGAGTGAAAGCTTGCCGATCGAGTAAAAGATTATCATCCGAGTGAAAATATAGTCATCCGAGCGAAAAATTGTCCTCCAGGTGAAAATATTGATATCTGAGTGAAACTATTACAAATCCAAATGAAATACTATCATCTAAGTGAAAGCTTGCCGTTCGGGGTAAAGGATTGCCGTCCGAGTGAAAATATTACAGATCCAAATGAAATATTGTCATCCGAGTGAAAGCTTGCCTTTCGGGTGAAAGATTGCCGTCCGAGTGAAAAAGTCTAGTCGGGCGATTCGAGTGAAAGACTCTAATATCCGAGTGGAGAGATTCAGATTCGAGTGCTCCAACCAGAAGCTGAAGATGTGCCCGAAAGGTTAATCTAGATTGGCTCGGATGAAAAGGTGTTTAACACAGGAATTGTTCGTAACATCGAAACGGATAACTTTGCTTTTAGACTCATCATCATCTGAGATAGTATATGGCCTGCAAAGTCGCTATAACACTCGGACAATACAGTCAGCTGCAAGACCGAGTCCGACTGGAAGATAAAGATGACCCCGTAAAGTATTCAAGATGGCCTTGTTTGGAGACGTGGTCAACACGAGAGTTGTTCGTCTCGTCGATGCACATAAATTTGATATTTGCGCCGTCTTAATCGGAGGTCACATGCAAATTCGACGGCCCGCGCAAGGAGCATGACAGAAGTTTGGGTCAGATTCAGACTGAGTCCGAGTTGAACTAGAACTAGAACTCTAGGATGTGAATTAATGTAATTTTTCATGTAAGAAAAGCCTAGATGAATCATTTTCTTACGGGAAGTCCAGCCGCCTCATATGCCCATAGCCACCGCACTCCCTGACGGGTCCCTCTCAGGCGTGTAGGGTTTCGGGTCTGCAAAAGTGCTCGCCGAATGTCTTGTGTATCGCACTGTCGGTCGGGTCTCCTTCGACGTGAGTTGCGGTGCATCACCCCCGGCGTCGAGGGTACACGTGACGTGTTCGTGTGTCAACACATGTGTCGCGCTCTGGGTTCTTCCTCCGAATTTTTTTATTTTCCACACGCGTTTTGGCTTTTTAGATGGTTTTTTTAGCTTTTCAATTTTTCATCGGTCTTTCTTAGCTTTTCAACAAAAGAAATCGAAAAAAAACTTTGCGCAAAACTATGTTTTTTTTCTTTAGCGGGAGGCACGACCGTGCCTCTCGGAAAAGGAAAATAACACGTTTTCTTTTTTTTCCATGAGAGGCATGGTTTTGCTTCCGCAAGAGGCACGACCGTGCCTCTGGAAACGGAAAAAATAAATGTGTTTCTCTTTTCTTTTTCTTTCATAAAAGGCATGGTTTTACTTTCGCGAGAGGCACGGCAATGCCTCTGGTAAACCAAAAAAATGTTTTCTTTTTTCTTTTCATGAGAGGCACAGTTTCCTCTCAGAAACGGGAAAAGAAATCATGTTTTCTCTTCTTCTTTTTTTGTGAGGCACGGTCATGCCTCTCAAAAACAAAAACAAAAATCATGTTTTTTTTCGTATGTAAGAGGCACGGTTTTGCTTCTGCGAAGCCGTGCTTGTTAGAAACAGCTTTCGGAAAGGAAAAAGAAAATGCTCCCAGTTTGGTTTTCTCGTCTATTTTCTTTGTCCAATTTTTTATATGAGAAAAGTTTTCGTCAAAACCTATCAATATGAGATCGAGTTAGTTTTAAAGATCTCGACACGAGGAATCCAACGATGAAAACGGTTTGAGATTTGAACGAGACAAACATTTTAAGTAAACGGATCTAGAAAAAAAAAAAAAAAACTCTCAGATTGCGGCAAATTGCACACATGCAACGTGCCACTTGCCGAGGTAGAAGTGATCATG